CTTGCTTGCCATTCGAGGAATTTTGTAACGTAAGGGTGTACTATTATATCAGTCTTTAGTTTACTGTGTACTGCCTTCTTTTCTTTCTTTTTCTCCTTACTTTTCTTCTGTTATTCCCCTCACAATGAATTTATTCTTGTTTCAACAGACAGCATGGGAAACAGCAAAACCTGTCCATCTCAACAGCGAAAAGTTCACTGCCTGGCTGCCAGTCAGAGAGATTTCGCAAAGGATTTATATATCGTAAGAAAATTCTTAATCCGTTGCTATAATCTTTAGTGTTTAAGGCGTTACGGAAATCAGTGGCTGAAAAAAAATGATCCCAGTATCATGTACTCCTCTTGTGAATTACTCGTCAGTGTTGCCCTGCATATATGTTTTTTTCAGGGGTATAGACAGTATCCCGTTTATTTTTCTCCCATTTTTACAAAAGGGCGAGCTCGGTACTAATGTCTGTAACGCCTTATTTGTTATTTAGAATTGCTGTAAGTTAGTATACTCTGGATTTCACAGTTCCTATCAGTGTTTCTACATTAACTTGTATAATATGAAATTATTCATTAAGATCATACTAGTCATAATGAATTCAAAGCAATATTATCCAATCTAAAATTATCATTCACAATTGTCCACGTTACAATGCCCACAGTAAAATATCATAAATGTTATGATGAAGAGAGGAGGTGAGCACATGCTAAAGAAAAAGGAAATGTAAATAAAGAGAGAAAGAAAAAAAAAAATATATATATATACCCGTTCTTTGCTCCACCCACCCAGAAACTGGCTGAGGGATCCCACGGCAATATTTTGTTCTCCCCGTTCGGCATCACGGCAGGGCTCGGGATGGTGTGTGCAGGAGCCAAGGGAAAGACTAAAGATGAAATAAAATCCGTTCTACACTTATCCCAGAAGAGTGAAACGGTCCACAAAGCCTTTAGAGATGTCATTATCGATTTTAAGGTGAAGTAACCTGAAATCAAGTCATATGCCTTTTGTTATAAAGATTTGGAACGTTGATAATCTGACTTTTAATTCTTATTAATCCATTTATCTTTTCCCTCTCCTCCCCCCCCCTTTTGCATCTTTCAGAACAACGATGAACATTATGAATTACGAACGTCCAACCTAGTTTGTATGCCTGACACATTGTCTGTGTTACCAGATTACTCCGCTGTTCTATCCGATATGTATCAGAGCTCTGTCAAAGGCGTGAACTTTGCTGATTCCAACGCAGCTGTGCAAGAGATCAACACAGATGTCAAATCTGCAACGAATTCTCGCATTACGGATTTGATTCCAGAAGGTAAGATGAAAGGCTGCTTTTTAGTGAAAAAGTAGCCACACTGTAAATCTATGAATTAACTGAACATGTACACACAGTATATACACATAGTACATGTGTGTGTGTGTGTGTGTGTGTGTGTGTGTGTGTGTGTTTATACACACAGACTGTTTATACATATATATATATATATATATATATATATATATATATATATATATATATATATATATATATATATATGTATATATATTTATTTATTTATATATATATATATATGTGTGTGTGTGTGTGTGTGTGTGTGTGTGTGTGTGTGTTTGTGTGTGTGTAAAGAGAGAGAGATGGTTATATTTGACAAGAAGGAATAATTCATGAGTAATTAATAATCAATAAGTAATTAATAACCTTCAACATGAATGGTGTTAACGTTTTACAGGGGTTTTAAATGACGACACAAGAATGGTGCTAGTAAATGCTCTCTACTTCAAGGGATTATGGAGCAAAGAATTCAAGAAATCGAACACAATAAAGGCCACGTTTTGGATGTCGCCCAAACAGAGTGTAAAAGTCCCTATGATGAGAAGTTCTGGTTACTTCAATCATGGATCTTGTGGTGACATCGGAGCTTCTGTCTTGAGTATGAGTTACAAGGTTTGTAAGTACAGGTATAGGGGTGTGTTATACAGGTACAGTAATATTGAAAGCTTTGTTTATATTTATTTTCAAGTTTCCTACAATTTTTTCTCTCTTTTCACTCGCAAAGAAAAAAAAAAGCTTATTTTGATTCTTAGAGATGTCTCAAACGAACCTATTTCTACAGTACACATGAATAGCTAACCGATTGTTCATTTCGGTAATGCAGTAGAATAACGCCCGGAAGTATGCAACACGATAACCAGTTACGCAATGTTGCAGGGAGGGAATTTAAGCATGGTAATTGTGCTTCCATCTGAGCGCGACGGACTGGCCAAAGTGGAGGCGAAGTTGGCCAAAACAGGCTTCGTCAGCAGCCTCGAAAAGACCATGAAGAATAAACTGGTAGATGTTGTCTTTCCTAGGTTTGAGATCGAGGAGACGGTTCATCTCAAAGATCATCTGTGGATAGTAAGTGAAGTTCAATAATGATTATGGTGACATCAGTAACGATTATAGTTGTTAAAAGGAATGAATGGATCTGAAAGAAAAGATCTAACGAATATATAGAAAGCTTTATTTAGATATAAGATAAACATGTACAAATGCACGGAAAGATGTAGATGCGTACAGTGTAAGTATGCAAGTCATGTTACTGATCACACACACACATACACATACGTATGTATGTATGTATGTATATATATATACTGTATATAATACATACTTTCATGCACGTGCATCAGCATGCCGTTCCCCTACTTACCGCACCGCGTGCTTGACGTCCCGGCAGATGGGGGCGAGGAATCTGTTCGACGGGAAGGCCAGCGACCTGTCGGGCATCACGGGTGACCGGCGGCTCAGCGTCTCCTTGTTCTTCCACAAAGCGGTCCTGAAGGTGGACGAGGAAGGCGGAGGCGGGGAAGCATCGACGTGTGCGTAGTTCTCTCTCTCTCTCTCTCTCTCTCTCTCTCTCTCTCTCTCTCTCTCTCTCTCTCTCTCTCTCTCTCTCTCTCTCTCTCTCTCTCTCTCTCTCTCTCTGTAAGAGGCGTTCTGTAAGTGAAAGCCTCAAAGCTTGAATTGGTGGTTGCAAGGATAGGCTGGTGCCGCTAGGTTCCTTATTTTTAGAAAGAGTACAAAAGCACAAATAAATAAACACACGTTAAAGTAAACCTGGATGGTGCTTGAGCCGTGGACTAGGGGAGGGGGGGGGGACGGCATGACTTCTGGAGGCGTTCTGCAAATCAGGTCGACCTTAATCTTCATCTTGGTTTTCTGCCAGGGGCCATTTTGAACGCTAAGATTTTCCAACAGTTATGCTTACACACCCGCCATCCATCTCTATCTCTCTTCCACTTTACAAAATTCTTCCATTTTTCTTCTCTATTTCTGTCTCATTTTTATTTCTGGGGACTGGGAGCGACGTTCTGCGGAGGGGATTTCTCTGAACCATTGGAACCATTGGTCTTGTAGGACACCTTCACCTCAGAGAGAGAGAGAGAGAGAGAGAGAGAGAGAGAGAGAGAGAGAGAGAGAGAGATAGAGAGAGAAAAGAGCGAGAGAGATTATTATAATGATAATAAAATAAGTTATTTACGCGAAGTACCCAATATAATGATAACCAGGCGTTATACCATGGAACACTTATTCATGAACAATGGAAGAGAGGAGAATGAGAGAGTGGGAGGAGGGAGAGAGAGAGAGAGAGAGAGAGAGAGAGAGAGAGAGAGAGAGAGAGAGAGAGAGAGAGAGAGAGAGAGAGAGAGAGAGGGGGGAGAGAGAGGGGGGGAGAAAGAGAGAGAGAGGTGGAGAAAGAGAGAGAGAGGGGGAGAAGGAGAAAGAGAGAGAGAGGGGGGAGAAAGAGAGAGAAAGGGGGGAGAAAGAGAGAGAGAGGGGGAGAAAGAGAGAGAGAGAGAGAGATAAACAAGTAAGAGGTGAATAAGAATAATAAATGTTCTTTATTTCATATATTAATTGCTATTTCTCTTTCTTGTTTTCTTTATTCCAGGCGTAGAATCGTCTTTATTGCGCGTCCACCAAACACTGAGTTTCAGAGCAGATCATCCATTCATATTCTACATTCGAGATGACACTTCAGGCTTCATGCTGTTTGCTGGCAGAGTCACCAACCCTTTGAGTTAATGGAATGGATGTGTGTCTCCATGCGCTCATACACACACACACACACACACACACACACACACACACACACACACACACACACACACACACACACACACACACACATACACATACATATACACACATACACATACACATACACACATACACATACACATACACATACACATACACACATACACACATACACATATACACATATACACATACACACACACACACACACACACACACACACACACACACACACACACACACACACACACACACACACACACAAACACACACATACACACATACACACATACATACATACAGTCGCGTGCAAAAATAATCACCTGTCGACTGATGGCCTCCAACTCACAATGCTCCCTTTATGTGCGTCACATCGTGGGTGGGAGTAAGGAGGGGAGAGGGAGACGGCGGGGGGAGGGGGTTGCTATTGTGCGAGGTTCCGGTTGTATAATGCGTCTTTCTAATTCCAAGCAATTCATGCGCCAGAGAAGATTTAATGATCATCTGCGACAATATTTAACGACAATGCATCACACCTTAGGTCTCGGGGAACTACCTTTAGATAAGCGGCGATACCACGGGGAAATTAACGGTGGTCGAGCTAGGCATTTGTGTTGTGAGCAGAAAAATGTGCATAAGCCTGTAAGATTTGTGCAAGAAATTGATTTTCCGAATTCCATGGGACATTATTAAATGCATCTTCTTGGTATTCATTCTACAGTGGCCCATCAGCTGTGCCTGCATAGAGCCGGATAGGCATACCGGCTCATAAGGGCATACCCTAGATTTTTATGTACCCGGGTGGATGTCAAAACCTCCTTCATAAGCTCTAGTAAAGAGAAGTATACCACGTTCAACCGAAACACCACATATAATGAAGCTGATTTTTCGTAACATTAATAACAAACAAAGAAAAACAAAAGAATTC